CTCACTTCACACAAAAAAAAAAAAAGAAAAGAAAAAAAGTGCTTAATGGTCGTCGATTTCATCTCATAATACGTCGCCTATTCGCTCATGTCCGCCCGCATCGTGCATCGACTCTCAGTCGCCCTCATTTCCATACTCAACATGTCTCTCTCTCTCGCTCCACCACATCGCTCCGACAATCATTTAATCAGTGGAAGGCCAAATGGGAGAGAGTGTGCTACAGGGTGGGAGGAATACTAGATCACGTGTGAGGGCATCAGAGAAATACAGGAGGAAGAGCGTCACCAATCTGCGAGTACGAGCACAGAGAGATCGAGAGAGAGGAGAGAGAGAGAGAGACGAGAGAGAGAAGAGAGAGAGAGAGAGAGAGAAAGAGAGAGAAGAGGGAGAGGAGAGGAGAGGGAGGGAGAGAGAGAGAGAGAGAGAGAGAGAGAGAGAGAGGAGAGAGAGTAGAGAGACGAGAGAGAGCAAGGAGGAGAGAGAGAGAGAGTGAGACGCGGAGAGGGAGTAGGAGAGGGAGAGGCGAGAGGGAGAGGGAGAGGGAGAGGCGAGGAAGAGAGAGAGAGAGAGAGAGAGTGGAGAGAGAGAGAGAGTGAGAGAGAGAGAGAGAGAGAGAGAGAGAGAGAGAGAGAGAGAGAGAGAGGAGAGAGAGAGAGAGAGAGAGAAGAGAGAGAGAGAGAGGAGAGAGAAGAGAGAGAGGAGAGTGCGCCAGAGCGGATGTCGACGGAGAATGGAATCAATCCGCGGAATCTCTCTCTCGCAGGTCAGAAGAGGGAGAGGAGTCTCAGGGAGAGGAAGAGAGTAAATGAAGGGTAAGAGAGGAGAGGAAGAGCGGATGAGCGAGAGCGAGAGCGAGAGCGAGAGAAGAGAGAAGAGAGAGAGAGAGAGAGAGAGAGAGAGAGAGAGGGAGAGAGAGAGAGGAGAGAGAGAAGAGAGAGAGAGAGAGAGAGAGAGGGGGGAGGGGGAGGGAAGGGGGTTGGGGGGGCGAGGAGGGAGGGAGGCGAGGGAGGGAGGGGAGGGAGGGAGGGAGAGGAGAGAGAGAGAGAGAGAGAGAGAGAGATGAGAGACGAGGGGAGAGAGAAGAGTAGATGAGAGAGAGAGAGAGAGAGAGAGACAGGAGGAAGGGAGGGAGGGAGAGAAGGGAGGGAGGAGGGAGGGAGGGATGGGAGGGAGGGAGGAAGGGGAGGGAGAGAATGAGAAATGTAGAAGATGACTCGAATGAGCATCGAGATAAAGAGAGAGGAGAGGATGTCAGCAGAGTACGAGAGAGAGAGCAGATGCATGTCTCACTGCAGGAGCAGGGAGAGAGACGATGAGATTCAGACGATATATAGAAAGAGAGGGAGAGAGGGAGAAGACATAGAGATAGGATGATAGCACTAGATTAGACATAGATAGAGCAAAGAGGAGTGTGAGATAGACAACTGACTATATAGATAGAGAGAGGGAGACGAGGGGAGAGACATAGAGATAGAGATAGATTAGATCTATATAGATAGATAGATAGATAGATAGATAGATAGAGAGAGAGAGAGAGAGAGAGAGAGAGAGAGAGAGAGAGAGAGAGAGAGAGAGAGAGAGAAGAGAGAGAGAGAGAGAGAGAGAGAGAGAGAGAGAGAGAGAGAGAGAAAGAAGAGAAATAAAGAAATGAGAGAGATAGAATAAAGAAAATAGTGAGAGAGAGAGAAAGAAAAAGAATAAAACAGACAGAGGAAACTGATCGTCCGCACGTGACAGCCCCCTCCCCCCTCCCCCTTGGCCGTCCGCACCGAGCCCCGAACGGCTCATAACGCCCCGACCCCCGACACCCAATACGGGCCATCGACCAGCCTTCCCCGGCCGACGAAGGAAATCTCGAAGGATAATCTACCCGACCGACAAACGCCAGAGCGATGAGGCCCCGCAGTCCGCTCCCGCTACGCCCAGGGAGGAGCACTGCGCGACTGCCGCCTCCCACACCATCACAACACCCATTAGCACCATACACCCCGCACGGCGCTGAGCTCGTCGTCTCCCTGACAACGCAAACGCCACCGTTGACAATCGCGAGGTTCTCTACGGACCGAACTGCCCGCGTTCGCTCGCTATCTCGCCCTCCCGCCTCCTTCGTTCATTAGGAGGAGGATGCTCGTTTCCTTCCTCCGCTCGTTTGGTCGGTCTGCCTCTTCCGCTTTCTGCGTTTTTTCCCTACTACTCTCCTACTTCCCCACCCCCCTCTCTCTTCTCTTGCTGCCCTCTCTCTCTCTGCCCTCTTTCTCTCTCTCTCTTCTCTCTCTCTCTCTCTCTCTCTCTCTCTTCTCTCTCTCTCGTCTCTCTCTCTCTCTCTCTCTTCTCTCTCTCTCTCTCGTCTCTCTCTCTCTTGCTGTTTCTATTCTGTTTCTGTCTCTGTTTCTGTTTCTGTTTTCTGTTTCTGTTCTGTTTCTGTCTCTTGTCTCGCTCACGCAGTACCACACCTTTCATTCCCCTTCTCTCTCCTCCTATTGCCGTTTTATCGCATTACGCTCAAGGACAAGTGAACTTCGTAAACACAGAAATCTATCTATGAGATCAAGTTTGTTCGCGAGATCAGCAATATCATTACACTTTAACAAACTGTTAACATTATAGGCGCATAAATAGACAAATCAATAAAAAAAACACAAATAAAAAGAGAGAAAAAAGTCTTCTAAGCTTGTGTTCGCTTATCAGGCCACCATACCCCTGTTTACGGCGGTAGAGACAAGCATAAACTCGTGGTTTCATAACGGTCTCTTGTGACAAAAATAGAAAGCGAGTTAGAAGAGGCGAGATCTAACTGCACTTCTGACTCTAGCTGTTTGTTGAAAATGTAATATGTGCTAAATATAGCATTAAAACCTTTTGAACTTTATACAGTGCACGGTTAAATGTTATTTACTCCTTGTCTCTATTGCTCTCATCTTCCCCTCTCTAACTCTTGACTGCCTCTCTTTTCCTTTTCCTCTCCTTTCTTTATCCTCTCTCCCACTCCTCCTCCCTCCCTACTTCTCTCCCTCTCTCTTCCAACCTCTCCTCGTCTCTTTTCCTCGCCTTCTTTCTCTCCATCTCCCTTTGTTTTTGTTTTTCTCTTTTCCCACTCATCCCCCTTTTCTTTTTTCCTCTCTCACTCTCATCCCACTCTCCTCTTATCTTCCGTCTCTCCCTCACCCCCTTCTTCTTTCCCTCATTCCACTTCTCTTTCCCTCTCCCTTTATTCTTCCTCTCCCTCACCCCCTCTCTCTTTCCCTCCCCCTCATTCCACTCTCTCTTTCCCTCTCCCTTTATTCTTCCCGTCTCTCCCTCACCCCCTTCTCTCTTTCCCTCCCCCCTCATCCCACTCTCTCTTTCCCTCTCCCTTTATTCTTCCGTCTCTCCCTCACCCCTTCTCTCTTTCCCGTCTCCCTTTATTCTTCCGTCTCTCCCTCACCCCCTCTCTCTTTCCCTCCCCCCTCATCCCACTCTCTCTTTCCCTCTCCCTTTATTCTTCCGTCTCTCCCTCACCCCCTTCTCTCTTTCTCTCTCCCTCTCTCTTGCCGGCCATTAATCCGCTGACTGACCCGACACCTGAATTGACAACAAGCGGAACACTAACATCATTAATGTCCATTATCAAATTCATATCATTACGAGCACGCTTACTAATGTTATACGTCAATCTTCGAAACATTTTCTGAAATGTGCATTTTTTTCTTGTCTAATGAGTTCTATTTTTTCTGAAACCTGCAATATATATATATATATATATATATATATATATATATATATATATATATATATATATATTGAAAGGTAAAATGGACGGCTACAATTTGACAGTGTGAGCCCAAAATCTGCCAGACTAAACTGACCACACAGAACGTTGTAATTATTTACACTTCATCCTCTAATTTCTTGAACGAATTACAAATCTCTTTCTAACACATAGAAAAAACTTTAGCTCAGCCCTTTTCTCGACAGTGCATCGTCCCATACCATACAGCACCGTATCATACCGTACCGTCTGCACCATCGCATGTAATACATCACCGAGGAATATTGCACTGCACTAAACCGCACCATACCTTACCAACAACGGCATAAATTTCCCCTTTCGCCTCCACCGGCGCAACAAGAGCATCGCCCTCTGATCAGTGTCCCGCTTCCTGGAACCCGGGAAGGCCTCAACCCCGGAGAGCGTGTGGTCTTGTTTACGAGTTGTCTTTAATTACTTTTTTCATCTGCATTTACAATTTGGGAAGCAGGAAGCGAGACGTAAAAGCTGCGCTTTGATATGTGTTTTTGATGATACACTTTTTTTCGGAGATAACAAATATGTAAATTACGTTTTGCTACGTTTTACTACCTTCGTTGGAAATCTCTAAAATCGGTTTTATTACGCGCAAAGTGTGATATATTCTCTGATAGACAGCAAGGTCCGTGAGCTTCGCATCTTAAGATCCCGAAATGCCGAAAGCTTTCTTAAAACTAGCTTCCCACTCCGGACTTGCAAGCTTCATTGACCCGCCCCCTCCCCCCCACCGCTCGTTCGTAAATCAGATAATGAATCAAAACACCTGTCCGTGATCAGCTGACTGGAAGACCACGTGCGACACTCACCTGGTTGGCCTTGTTGATCTGCTTCTTGAGGCCTGCGAACGCCATGGTTGCTTGCAATGGCAGACGTCGCTCACTCCCAAAGGCCTCTCTGTCGAGGATCTGCGAAAGGGGGCTGGGGAGGGGGAAGAAGGGGGCGAGGGAGGGGTCGCCGGGGGGTACTAGGCGTGGGGAGGGGGTTGTCTTAGTGGGGATGGGTTTAAGGATGAGAGGTTGGAGTCAGCAGGCGCGGTCTGTCACGGGAGGCGCAGCAGTGGCTGTAGTAGTAGTAACAGTTGTAGCAGCAGCCGGACGGGGCGGGGGGGGGGGAAGCAGCACCGGAAGACTTTTTATGAGGCTGGGCACTTCACCACCTGCGGGGGAGACAATGGACGTGTTAAAAAGGCGTCACACCTGCTTGCCTGCTTAATCTTGCTTACTAAATCTTGCCTACTCGCTCTCGTCTGCTCATTCTCACCTACTCCCACTCGCGTCTCGCCCTGACCTACGAGGGGAGCCGCAGGGGGGGCGGGGGCGGGATGAGCGTGCGCTCCCCGGGGAGGAGAGACTTCACGATGCACAATAACTCTTTTTTGCTTCCTTCTTATTTTCCTTTCATTAAATACAGGAGAAAAAAATCCATCCATCAGGAACAGACAGTCCATAAATATAACACATAAAAAATAACAACATTAGTAACAAAAAGCTCAAAAATCAAGAACAAAAACCTCCCTCCCAAACGCGATGCTCGCTGCACTTAGCAACACGGGACTCACGGAGCATCCACCTGCAACAATCAATGGCAGTGTAGACAAGAGTGCGTGAGTGTGTGTGTGTGCCCGGGTGCGCGTGCGTGAGTGTGTAGGTGTTTTGGCGTGTGTGCGTGTGTATGTGTGCGTGTGCGTGTCGTGTATGCGTGTGCGCGCATGTGCATATGTATTTTTCATACGTGAGGCCATGTTTGTGCGTGTGAATGTATGTATGTGCGTGTGAATGGGCGTTCTACGTGTCCATGTAGTATGTGTGTGTGTGTATGGGGGCGAGCCGACTATATATAGAAGCGGAGGCTCGACCCCCCACTTGTCTGCGTGTCGTCTACAGCGGGGGAGGCGCCGCGTAGGGGGCCTGAGGTCTAATTAAAAATCTCGGGGGTGCTGGCCGCCCAGCTGTACACCGACGCAAATGCACACAATGCAAATGTAAACCACCATGAAAATAGTGAGGAAAAGATACATAAATAGATGGAGGTAGGGAGGGAGGGGAAGAGAGAGAAAGTAAGAGAGAGACAAAAGAAAAAGAGGAAAAGAAAGCACATTGAGAGAAGGGAGAGGGAGAGAGAGTGTGGTGTAAGAAAAGAGAGAGAGAAAGAAGTTGATACTTACTTACACTTATTGCTTCTATTATATTAATAAAAGAGAGAGAAGGGAGAAGAAGGGGAGGAGAGGTGAGGGATAGAGAGAGAGGAGAAAGAGACGGAAGCAGAGAGAGACGAGAGAGGAGCATTGATATGGAGAGAATGAGAGGAACGCGTGGGAGATGAATGAAACGACGGAGTGACGAGACGAGGAGATGCGGAGAGAGAGAAGAGAGAGGGAGTAGAGACGATGGATCAGAGAGAGAGGTTTGTTTTAAAAAAAGGAGAGAAAGTAAGGAAGATAGTAGGTAGATAGAGTAAGAAAGAGAAGAGATAGAAGCAAGGAGAGTAAAAAAAAGACAGACATATCAAGAGAGGAGACCAAGTAAGACAAAGAAAGGCGAGAGAAAAAAGTAAGAACAGAGAGAGACCAAGAGGGAAGGAGAAGAGAGAAGCACGAGACAGAACAGACAGAAAAAAACGGAGAAGAGAGAAAGCAAGAGAGAGTAGGAAAAGAGACGAAATTTAGAAAGAGATGAGAGAGCAAATAACCCCTACAAAAAGAAAGAAAGATCGAGAGGAAAGAAGGAGAGCAATCAGAAAGAAGAGAGGAGGAGACAAGAAGTGGACAAGAAAGAAAAGAGAGAAACCGCAAGAGAGATGGAGCCAAAAGAGAAGGCCAAGAAGAAAGAAACAAAGAGGGAGAGAGAGAAAGAGCAGGAGGAAAGAACCCAAAGAGCAGAATACAAACCCAGAAAAACCAAACCAGAGAGAGAGAGAAGAGGAGAGAGAGACGAGAGAAGGAGGCATGACGAAGCGACGACTGGATGAGAGAGGGAGGAGGGCACGGGATCGACTGAGACGGAGGAGTGCCCCGGAAAGAGAAGAAGGGCGAGGGAGAGGGAGAAGGAGGGAGAGAGAGGAGGACGGAGGATGACGAGAGGGAGATGAAGAGATGGGAGGGGAGCGAGAGCGAAGCGACGGGAGCCAGATGAGCGTGAGGAGCGAGAGAGAGGAGAGAGAGAGAGAGAGAGAGAGAATGAGAGAGAGAGAGAGATCAGAGACGAGAAAGAGAGGAGGGAGAGGCACGAGGAAGAGGGGAGCGAAGAGAGAGAGGAGGAAGGAGGAGAGAAGGAGAGCGCAGAAAGCCGAGAGAGAGAGAGAGAGGAGAGAGGAGAGAAGAGAGCGACGGAGCGAGAGCGAGAGCGAGAGAGAGAGAGAGAGAGAGAGAGAGCGAGAGAGAGAGAGAGAGACGAGAGAGAGAGAGAGAGAGAGAGAGAGAGAGAGAGAGAGAGAGGAGAGAGAGAAGAGAAGCGAGAGGAGCCGAAGAGCGAGACGAGAGAAGAGAGAGAGAGAGAGAGGAGAGAGAGAGAGAGAGAGAGGAGAGAGAAGAGAGAGACGAGAGAGAGAGAGAGAGAGAGAGAGAGAGAGAGAAGCGCCACATCAAGATCCGACGCGCTAGGCACCGAGGCGGCCGAGGGGACCAGACCACCGCCAGGAGAGAAGAGCCGAGGCGATGAGCTCTACGGGGCTGATCGATGGGAAGGTGAGCCGAGATAGAGGAGCCGAGAGGGGAAAATTGAAAGGCTGAGGTCAAGAAGCTCCCTCCAGGTAAATGGGAGATAAAGTGGGGAGGGGAGTGGGAGGGAGGGAGGGGGAGGGGGAGGGGAGGGGAGGAGGAGCGCGGGGAGGGGAGGGGAGGAGGGTGGGGGAGGAGAGGAGGGAGGGGAGGCGAGGAAGGCGATGGAAGAGGATGAGGAGATGAGATGAGAGGATGGGATGGGAAGAGTAGGAGGGGTGGAGGGGTAAGGGGGTAAGGAGAGAAAGGGGGTAAAAGAGGGGAAGAGGTAAGAAGAGGGGAAGAGGGGGAAGGGGGGAAGAAGAGGAGGAGGGATGGAGTGGATGAAAGAATGGAAGAAAGGAGTAAGAGAGAATAAAGAAGGGATGAGGAAAATGGGGATAAAAGTATGACAGGAAGGAAGGGGATGGAGAGAGGGAGGAGAGAGGATGGATGGAACGAAGGAGGGAAGATGGATAGTGAAAGGAGAGCTGAAAGTATGGGATGCAAGAGGAATGGAGGAGAGGGAGAGATGGAGGAAAGATGGTGCAACTGAGAATCAACACGTGAGAATCCACAACACACTTGATGGTCCTGCAAGGTCATCTTGTCATTGTCTCTCTCTCTCTCTCTCTCTCTCTCTCTCTCTCTCTCTCTCTCTCTCTCTCTCTCTCTCTCTCTCTCTCTCTCTCTCTCTCTCTCTCTCTCTCTCTCTCTCTCTCCAGCCTAAATTTCCATTCGTTTGTAGAGGAGCAAAAGAGAGGCTCTGGAAAGAACTCTCTCGTAAAGTCAGTAGGAAAATTCCATGAATTTACTTTTTAAAAATATTTACTTCAAAAGCCCAGCACCTTCCAAACGTAGAATAATAATTACATATAACACATGGCATTAAAAAAAAAAAAACTTATGATAATGACGATGGTGATGAAAATGACAATGATACTAGTAATAATAGCCACAAAAGCATCGAATAATTATAAAAAACAACAACAAAAATAACATCAATAAACAAAAAACAACAGAAGAAAGTGAAAAAAGATCGCAATAATTGCTAGTATTATCATAATCAAGATCACCAGCACATCATCATTATCCTAATTACAACATTACTATTCTCCTCATTATCATTATCGTTATTATCTAAATCACAATCATCATTAACATTATTATCATTTTCCATTTACACCATCCACCTCATCAGTTACCATCACCATTCTCATTAACTGTACGAAGACGACCTCGAATTCATCACTATCATTAAATTTGATTACCTCCAGCAATCCGTGTTGATCATGAGGACGGCGAGAACGCCATGGAGGAAAATAACGCCCTTTATTACGCAAAGTGACACTTGTATCCGAGTGCCGAGTGTCATGGACATCCACAGTGCCACGTATTCTGGCTATCAGGGCTCGAGAGAGGAGCACTGGCGAAGGAGGGAGAGGAGGGGGAAGATAAAGAAGAGGGAGAGGGAGATGAAGGGGATGAGGAGGTGGAGGAGGAAGAGGGAGAGGTGATGGAGGAGGAAGAAGGAGCAAAGATGAGACACTGGCGAGGGGGAAGAAGAGAGAGAGGAGGAAAGACGAAGAGGGCATGAAAGGCTGAGAGGAGGATGAGGAGAGGAAGAGGAGGGTGTGGAGGAGGAAGAGGAGAGGTGATGGAGGAGTGATGACGAAGCAGAGGAGAGGTGATGGAGGAGGAAGAGGATGAGAGAGAGGATGGCGAGGAGGAGGGAGAGAAGAGGAGAGGAGAGGAGGAGAAGAGAAGGAAGGAGGAGAGAGGAGGAGAAGGAGAGAGAAGGAGGAGCGAGGAGGAGGGAGAAAAGGAGAAAAGGAGGAGAAGAGAGAGGAGGAGGAAGAGATGCATGGATGAGATGATGATGATGGATGATGCGATGCGCTTCCGGGCGGCCCTCGCGCACCAAAGGCGGTCTGGCACTTACATGATGGTCATTTATTCAGAGGCGACTGTGCATCACATGCACGAAACATCTACACGCACGAGTGAACGTGCACATATATGTATACGCTTGCACGCACGCACACACGGTTGGTCGCTCTCACTCTCCTTAACACACACACACACACACACGTGCGCGCGTGTGTGTGCAGATATGACCATATGTACATGTCAGTAGCCCCTCCGTCGAAAATGTGAGAAAGTGACAAAAGCGGCGCATCACTGGCTTCACGCTCTTGCCACTAATGAATGAATCGTCGATTCAACCTCTCATCGCCTAACCCTCAGCTCATGAGACCGCCATCAGCCCCTCTTATCTAGCGCTCTTATCTCCCTAGAAACAGAACTAATCCACTCTCCCTTTTTACAGTTACAGCGTTACAGAGGTTACGGGCGAGCGGGAAGGATACAGCTGTGGGTTGGTAGAAGACGAGCGGCGAAGAGCGAATAAAAATGCATGGCATGCTGTCCGTCATTAAAATAATGGTGTGCATGAATACGTC